AATTTTTTTAAAGTATTTATAAATTTGTCTATTATTTTTGAATTTGGATCCTCTCTTACAAAATTTTCTCTCCGGTCTCTCTCTAGCAACATTAATAATCATTAAATATATCTAATGACTCAAATTTAATCTTATAATTAATGTAACTTCTTAAATAATTTTTATAAAATTAAATTTGAGCCATTATATATATCTAATGATTATTAATATTGCTGGAGAGAGAATATTACTCGTGTGTTTGCATCCGCGTTTTAACGTGGTTTTTCTCGTTCAACTTGAAGCAATGAATAGCTGCTTTTACGTAAATCCGTGTGTAAACGTGGAGAGACGAAAGAATTGCGTTTTCAAAATGAAAAGCAAACACCCACTACATGAGATGATTCAAATTTCATTTATACTACATTTTTTTTTCAGAAACCGGAAGAACTACAAAAGTTGGCAACGGTTTCGATTGATTTAACCCGTCTCATCAGATTGCATGCATAATTGGCCTAAAAAGCCACCAGCACTGGTTATTACTTATTAGCCAGTTCACCTGCTAGTTCCATAACCGACTAAATTTTATAACATTGGATTCAACCAGAAAAATGAATGTTTGAACAATATTCCATTTTCATTTTCTTTTTGGTCCAAACTATATTCCTGTTGATTACTTTTGATATCCTTTATAAATTACTCAAGCATTAGATAAAAGGAACCTTCCGCACAATGGAGGCAATTTGTTAGGGCATAATCTGGCACTCCTCTCGTCAACTTTACAGCAAAACTAAACTAACCTGAGAACTTATGAAGTAACATCACCTAACAACGTTGATTGATGGAAAAAGCTTTTTCTAAATTACATGACTAAAACTTCTAACCTCCCCTTAAAGCCTTTCTCAACGATAATCAATAATATGTACGATATTAACTTGCTCTCTGTACTTCTGTTGGTAACAGAAGGTGCGTGTAGGTGGTTTGATAAAGGGAGGTCAAAATCTGTACTTCCAGGCTAATATTCCAACTTTTGAAGTACAGTGATTCAAAATTAAGCATGTTTTTGCTAAATCGTACACTTATATATATATATATATATATATATACCGAAATGCATCTTTTTCACGAAGTTCTCATCCAAGCCTCATCTTCAAGATACAATAATTCTGATTTATCAGATGGCCCCTCTGCCAGCAGAAAACATCTTTACAATTATATTCCTTCCCTTAATATTTTCAGTATCCAAAGCTCGGCTTCATGCTCATTACTATGACCAAACATGTCCACAATTGGAAAAAATAATTTCAGAGACTGTTCTCAAAGCTTCTAAGCATGATCCAAAAGTCCCAGCTCGTATCTTGAGAATGTTCTTCCATGACTGTTTCATAAGGGTATGATCTTTCACTCAGGAAAAAATATATCATAAAACACGCACTTGAGAATGTTCTTCCATGACTGTTTCATAAGGGTATGATCTTTCACTCAGGAAAAAATATATCATAAAACACGCACATGCACGGACATATGCACACAATATTCATATTGATGAATGACTAAAGTGGCTAATGTGTGTTTGTATCAGTTGTGTGTAACGATATGATTATTGACTGATGTTAAATGATAGGGGTGTGATGCATCAATATTGCTGGACTCAACAGCCACTAACCAAGCTGAGAAAGATGGCCCTCCTAATCTCTCAGTTCGATGGTTCTAACTTCTATGTGATTGATGAAGCAAAAGCAAAACTTGAATTAGCTGGCCCACGCACTGTTTTTTGTGCTGATATAATTGCCATTTCAGCTAGAGATGTGTAGCCATGGTATTATCAAGTCTCCAAACTACCTTAGACCTGCTAAAATCTTGGAACTTTTTATTAGACACATTTAATGATCTCAAAATATTTCATTAAAAGGCTCCAAATCACATATGTTTGGATAATGCCTAAATACATTCTAGATATATATTTAAAATTTCTATACACAGTGATCACTCATTCCTGAGGATTTTGAATAACATATAAATGATTATACAGGATATATAGTATGTTGGATATTGATCTCTACATTTCCATAATGACCCCCCATGGAACATTAACATATCTTGAGGCAGGTGAAAGGAAGTTACTTATTTCAATGTCCATATTTCTTATTTACTTTAATAATCTGGAGGTCCATATTGGAATGTACTAAAGGGAAGGAAAGATGGAAGAGTCTCGAAGGCATCTGATACCATCAACTTACCCGCTCCAACCTTCAATGTGAGCCAGCTAATTCAGAGCTTTTTCAAAGAGAGGTTTGACAGTTAAATATTTAGTAACTTTATCTGGGGGTCACACTCTAGGCTTTTCACATTGTTCTTCCTTTGAGGCACATCTTCATAATTTTAGTTCATTGCATCACTGATCCAAGTATTAACACCGAGTTTGCTTTAGACCTAAGAAAGAAACGTCCAAAACCAAACCACAATCACAAAGCAGGACAGTTCCTGGATGAAACCACATCAGTGTTTGACAATGACTATCACAAACAATTGCTGGCTAGGAAAGGTGTTTTTTTCAGATCAATCACTTTTTGTGGATTCAACCGCAAGAGTGTTTGACAATGACTATTACAAACAATTGATGAATGGTTAAGGCCAACAATGTACAGACTTTTAGTCCTAAAACTAGAAGGATATGCAACAATCATACAATATGTTAATTTCACTCTGCAATTAACATTATAAGAAGTACTAGTTAAGGCTCAGCTTAATGATGCCTTACACTTAAAAAGTCTAATTAAAAAACATTTGCAATGGTTTAAAATTTTATAGGAATTTCATGTTGGAAATGTTTTGTGTTCATGATAAGTTAACATAAATGAGTGCTATATACTAGTATACTTTAACCTATACAGAACAAAAGAGGCCTCATTATTAGAAATTTCACCTAAACATCTCACAAGTCAACAAAATTTTCATCCAAGCCCAATAAACAAACTGTGGATTGGATGTGTCAACAGAAGCTACAGACATTACTGCAGACAGATATACAGAAATCAGAAAATATCATCATAATTCTATAATGAAGAAATATAAGACAATTTCCATGAAATTCAACATCGTGTATCCAAAAAAATTATTCCTAATTTCAGGAAAAAATACTCATAATGTTCTGAGTAATGGGAGCTTTATATTACACTAACCAGCTGCCATTTTTTTTAAATAATGTTCTGAGTAGTTAGCTGGTTTAATTAACCTGATTTGCCCTACTATATGATATTTTTAGAAGGACTTCCTTATTTTGCTTACACATAAAAGTAAATTATCTGTTGAATAAATTTTCATACAGAACAATATTACCAACACTGAATCAAGATAACAGATATTTTGATCAATAGGCTGACAAAGAAAAAGCCTTCAGGAGATGAATATACCAGGTTATTTGGTACAAGACATGAACCACTCTTCAAGCAAATACTACATCTGAACGAAAGACATACTTGACACCCTTGGTAACATTTCTGGCTTCATGCAACAAACATTTATCTCCGTGAAGGTGCAGGAGTGCTGTCCCTTCAGTAGGAGCCACCTGTGATATCAACATTCTATCAACACCCAAAACATAGTCATATTCCAAAATTTGCATTAACCAAAAGTGTAACGGAAATATTACCATACCAACCCACATTTCATGAAGAGAAAATTAATACTTTACCTCAGCCACAGTGTTATTTCTAGGACCATAAAAGACTGTTTCTCCTCCAACTAAAGGATCAAAAGATGAAACTGCGGTATTTCTGGGATCCTTTTTGGGCTTTGATTTATGTTCACTAAGTCCACCACTCAAATACACTAACAGAGTATAATAAGTGCGGTTTCCATCTCCAAGATTAACACTTTCATCAATATGCCGTCCAAATCGTTGTCCAACATTGTACCTGAATGCAGTAACGTATGATCATTAGTGAAGGTAATGCATTTAAATTATCAACATTTATCTCGGGATGAAATTTATAGAGATCACTGGTGTTCTCAATTCACGAAGAGAATTGCATCAACGAAAGGAAAACATTTGATGAAAATCAAAGTGGGACAACTTTTGGATATTTTGGATGGTGTCATATGTAGTGCCGTATTTTTTCTGTTAAAATAATAGAATCATAAATGAAAATGCTTTGTCCCAAAGAAAGCTTTAGCAAACTGAAAACTTATACTAACTTCTCCACAAGAAACTTTTGCCTCACAAAATAAACTAACCTATAGAATCTGATATTTGGATTCAGTCCTACAGCAACCTTTCCTCTAATTTTTATATCAGAAAATAGTTTGTTAAGTCCAGACTCCCAAATAGTATCTGCAAGGACAGGATCATTCACTGAGATTCGATCATTATCTCGATAAGCTTCGCCTTTAGTTGGACCTAAACTCCCTTGATGAGAAAAACCAATTGACTCAGCAATTTTAACGAATGACTTCGATTCAGCAGAGGAGAAAAAATTCTGGACCTAAACAAAAAATAAAAATAGTTAAATAAGAATTAATTAGAGAAAATAATTAGCACCAAGCACATGCATACATTTCAAATTAGCAGGCATCTCCCATTGTGGCACTGTTTAATTTGTTTTGGAACATTAAAATTTCAACAGAATTTGAAGGAATCATATAAAATATGAATGCTTGAAATTGTAAGAAGAAGATGGAATTGTAACCGTGAAGAGATCGAAATCTCGGAGACGGGTAATCTGAAGATCCTTTTTGGGTTTGATGAGAGGCCATCTTGCCGAAGCTGTCTCCTTTGTGTCTCCCATTTTTCTCTTCCTCGTTCGCCTCTCCTCTGTCATTACATCGCCACAAACGTTTCTCTCTTTTTCTTCAGTTTATGTTTGCGTCTTCGGCCCAATTCTGTCCAGCCCATGGCTTATACCAGCTTTTTGGACCTCACTCGGCCCATAAAAAACCGTATATCCAATTGGCTAGCCATGTTGGTGAAATGTTTTTAGTAAATCTTGGTAGTATACAAGTCAATAAACTTGTCAAAATTAATTTATGAATACATTATATACAGTAACACTATCATAAAATAATCCATTTTACCTTTATGAATATAAAACTTAGCATTTTTATGTTGAAATCATAGAGAATGTAACATATGATAGAATAAATACTTTAAACTACTTTATTTTAAAAATTAAATAATTGAATATAAAAATGTAAGAATTCATATGTAACTAATAAATAGCTGTTGTCATTTTTTTTTTTTTTTACAATCATAGGTCGTAAAAAAAAAAAAGATGTGAAGTAGGAATAATATTGCTCTTTTGACGAAATCGAACATAAATTAAAGACAGTATAGGTGGGGAAACAGGAGAGTTGATAAAAATGGCATCAATAATAGAAGTGCAGAGAAATGGTCAATTCCAAGAAAGGAAGACCAAAAAGACATAGATGCCATATTGCTTTATTTTCACTCCTCCAAACTGAGGGCATACATAGCAATAAAAACATCCGCAACCAGTCATTGTATTATTCCCGCACAAATGGAAAGAATCCAAATTGGGGTTTACGTCAAACGAACATTCAGGCGGATTGTATATGAAATAAATTTTTGAAATGTTGTATATCATTTACATTTAATGTTGAGATACTATATTCACTTGTTGTCCAGGTTAAACCCTAAATCCTAAATCCTAAACCCTAAACATTAAACATGCATAAATAAATTTGACATCATAATTCAAAATCTTAAATTATCTGTCTCATCAACATAATACATCTTCCATACTTGAAAAAGACTTTTGACATAATATAATCTTACCAATTCCATTGTTAAGAGCACTCCATGGGTGTGTAATAGTAAATCATACATATAATAGAGTTTAACATCACATCATACATAAAACTCTCATTCACACTTACTACAACATCTTTTGTTAAATGCTCGATGAGTTTTTTCAAGGTTTGAAAAGAAAATTATTTCCAAGTCCACCATTTTTCGGAGGTAGAACAAAATAGAAAATAAAAAGAAAAAACTGATAATTAAATCCTCCAAAAGAACAAAGAATGAGGTTCCATTCAAATTCTGCCATCCCTTCAATTTCCTTGTAATTTCCTTTTAGATTTTAAAACAGATTATTTTCAAAAATTTTATGGTTCATTCTTTCTGTGATTTCTTTGGCTTCTTGACTTCAAGTTTTCTTTAGCATAGTTCAAAGTTTCTTACTCACTTGCATTGCACTTTCTAGCAGTCCGTCAAATCTAAATTTTGATACAACTGTTTTTTTAAGGTAATAGTTGAATAAGTTTTGACACACCAAAACAGAAAATCTTTAATTTTTTTTTTTACATATCCAAAAACCCTTGAATTTTAAAGGTGCTATAAAATTTCTTTTAATTATATATTGCTTGCTATGTCATTTTTTACAGAGAACTTGCTATGTCATTTAATTTAGTCTTCTGTGTTATATTTATACCTTTCGTACCTTTTGTCAATCCGAATCGTTGGTTTAGTTTCCCTTCAAACTCCATTATTTATTTTTTCATTAGTCAAAGTATTCTGTTGGTCATCTTTATTCCCAACTAGTTTATGTACGTTTAGTTGCTTCTTTACTACACGTTCTTTGTTTTTGCTGGTTTGATACGTAAAATGGTCAATTAATCAATTTGTCAAGTTATTTTGGCAACACATAATCTGAAAATTTGAAATCTTCCGCGATGACTGTTCACACTAGTGCCCAAATAAATTTTGACGACAAACTTACAATTATTTAATTAATAATTAATTTTATTTGTAAAAAAATAATAATTAATTTTTATTACATACATCACATTAAGTTATGTTTAATTTTTTTTAATAGTGAAATATTTAAATTATCATTATTCTTCAGAACTTTTATTCAAATAGGTAGGGGAAGTTAATTTTTTAGAAAAACTTTCTGCATTAAATAGTTATTGGAATTTTGCCGTAACAAGACAGACAAATTAGGAGATAAGAAGCATTAGAATTGGAAAAATGGTTCCCCATTTCTTTTTCTGATCGGTTTCAGGTTAACTGTTGGGATATGGAATCTCTGGAAGGATGACAAAAATGAACAGAATAAGGGAATACCCTCTTCTGTGGTCTCAGAAACAGCTACAATAAATGCGACTTTGCTGGAAGTGCGGTTCTTCTAGCTAGGGTTTCACGAATATTAGCCACTTCTTTATACCACTATACCTACACTTTCTCTTCACTTCTTTTACTTTAACCTCAAAATTTTTTTGTGAGTTTTGCTTTTCTCCATGTTCCTTGACCTATGCTGAAAGCTCCACGAACTCTTTGTCTCTCTGCACACAAAGGATTTGTCATTCTGAGTGGTCAAATTAAATTTTCCACCACATTAATAATTTAATTTGGTTCATGTTGTATACAATAAGCTAAACCAATTATTTTTCTGTAAGATCCATTTTCGAGCTCGCGGATCAATTAATTCTGATAACACTGAATCCTTTGAAGTTTTAGATTGTGGGTTTTAACTGTTTGTTAAAAATCTTATACTTTCCTGCTTTAGAAAGAATACAAATTAGAGTGAAGCGTTTCTTGAAGACGTCTGTTTCTAATTTTTGGTAATATTTTCTCCCTTAACCTTCTTTTTTTTTGGTACTATCTCGTTTATTAGTTCTTCTTACTCTATTTTGTTCCATCTAGGGCTTGAATAGAATTTTAACCTCTTCTTGATTATGTGTAGGAGATGGTGAGGGGAAAGGTTCAAATGAAGAAAATTGAGGATGCAACAAGCCGTCAAGTGACCTTTTCAAAGCGTCGAACTGGTCTTGTAAAGAAAGCTAACGAGCTATCGGTTCTTTGTGATGCACAAGTAGCTGTGATAGTCTTCTCACAGAACGGAAGGCTCTATGAGTTCTCAAGTTCTGAGTACGTTTTCCTTCACTTTTCCAAATTCATGTTCTGCTTAAGAATTAGTACTTCAATAGATATGCTATGATTGCTCAGAGATACATATGTACCTGTTATACTGATTTGGAAAAGAAAAAAAAAAGTGCAGATGGTTGCTTACTTGCTTTGCTGGTTGTAAGGGTAGTCTTTGTTAATTTGTTTCTCTACCTTACGTTTTGAGGTTTGGTGCAATCTGCAGAAATAAACAAACGAGTCTGTGTGGCTTAATTCGTTTGATAAGTTTTCTTCTACATTGTTTGTGAATAGTGACTAATGACTACTGAAATGGCAATACTTATAAATTCAATTAATTTATTTCTTTGTAAAGACTACTCATTGTACTGGTTTTGAGTACCTTGTACTCAAATTCAATAATTTTCTTTAGCCCATAAAAGAAGAAAAAAACATAAAAAAGAGATGGTAATATTCATACCCCCTTGGCTGAATAAAATGGAAGTCCCTTAGTAAGTTTGGTACCCTTCTGAATTTTGGTCTAGGTCATTCATTTCAATATTCTCAAGTCTTCTGAATTCTGGTCTTGGTCATTTCAATATTCTCAAGTGATAACAAGTCTAATTTGGTAATGTTCTTCCAGAATACGTGAGTGCCTGGTTGGATTTGAAGTTCAAAACCTAGGCACTAATACTGTTGTTTGTTCCGATGGTTGGCGTTTTTTTAGATATAAAATCAATGTATCTGGGTCAATCAATTATCTCAAAGCTTAGTTAATTTAAGATGTCAGATGAAGCCCTGCAATATTGGATGCCATTCCGGCCAGTCTACCCCTTAACAGTTAATATAGATCGCGAGAACCTATGTAGAGTGATTTGCAATATCTTCTAGGACGATTTATTGACATGATCTTGTACTAAAATCATCACTTAAAGTTAAAATGTTAAAGCAACTTCACTCAACTTAAATTCAGGCTCTCCCCCATAAGAAACTTCCTTCTTACTTTTTCCGAACCGTGAGGCGTGGAAGTTTTTGGCTTTTGCGGAACAACATGTGGACATTTTCAAGTGCAGTGCAGGCATGTGTTTATGTAAGCGGTTCTCCAATAAGCAGCGCTGAGGGGAATACAGTATATATCTTTTTTCCCCATCTTGGAAAGAGGGATTTTACCTAGTATTTACGAACAGTTTTATTTAGTGCATTCCGTACACATTTCTTAATTACACCATTTCTTGAAAATGTCAATAGTATTGGTTTGAGGACTACAGCAACAATTTTATATGCATAGGATGTGTGTCGAATTAATAAAATATGGCCGGGTAGTTATAGGTTAATTTCTTCATTTTATTTTGGGGGAGGGGATAATATGTAGGTTTGTTCCTATGTTCAATAACATGGTGCAGTGTAGGCCATCGGGATTAATTTGATTGACTCGTCCAATTACGGGAGTTGATGAGAACAACGATGGATGCTTCGGAAGGCAATAACAACAGAAAACTTTCCAATCCTAGGGTTTAAAACTTATGCAGTAATATTTCACTATCTTCACCTTGGACCAGATTATAGCAAGCCATCTCGTTATTCTATTCTAGATCAATAATGTAGAAATGTGGTCAACCTACGTGCTAGATGACCGTAAATATAGGGATTATTAGTTATACTTAACAAGTCAAATTCTTAGAATATGTTTCGTTCTATTCTTTTATGTTTTGTTACATTTTATTTTTATAAGCAAAAAGATTTAAATTATTGGGAGTACAAGGGGTACTCTAACCCGTTACAATAGAATTTAAAATCAAAGCAAAGATTATGAGATACACAAACCCGGGTTATAATACCAACTAATGTAACTAAAAGAACAACCGGGGACAGAACTAGTAATTCACTTCCATGAACGTAGTTTAATGTTGTCCAACACTTCCTTGCAATCCGTGACACCTTGCTGAAAGATAATAACATTCCGATGAAGCCATAGTGACCACCACAATCTCCAACCAATTAGCAAAAACTAACCAAGTATTAAAAGTCATTGGACACATTAGAAAGAGATGAAGAGGGTCTTCAACAAACAGAGAGTAAAGAGAACATAAATTGTTATCCAACTCTACACACGTACTTGTAACAATGATTTGCACGGGAATGCATTCATGAACACCTGCCAACAGAATACCAAGTACTTGATCGGAGCCTTGCATTTTCAAAGACTTTTTATGACTAGATGAAAATCTAAGGAATATCTAAGTTCTCCACCCAGCGAACGCTGCAGCCAAAGGTACGCACTTTTCACTGAGAATACACCATCCTTATCACAAATCCATCTCCAATGATCTTGCTTAAAAGAGAAAATTTGCAGACCCTGAAGCATTTCCAACAAGGTATTCACACTCCTTACTTCATGGACAAAAGGTTCTCTTCTCCAATTAACCTGTCACACCCACCTAGATCCCTCCCAAGTTCCATTATGCCCCACCATTGACAACGGATCAAAGGCAAAGGAGTACAAACGAGGAAAGACATCCGACAAGCGCAAACCACCTATCCACTTATCCTCCCAAAATCAGGTCATAATGCCATCGCCAATACAACGTTCAATCTTTTCATCCAACCAAAAATTTCCTTGTTGTAGCACCTACACTATATCCTTCCACCACCAAGAAGCCCTCCTATCCACATTTGAGCACTTAGAAAAGGACTCAATGCGCCCATACCTACCATGAAGAACCTTAGCCCACATCATACCTGGAGAGAGCATACACCTCCACACCCATTTCCCTAGTAGTGCCTAATTGAACAATCTGACATTCTTGATTCCTAGTCCACCTTCATCCTTTGACTTACACACCGTTTCCCATTTTACCCAAGGAATCTTTGAGCCATCCTTGACACCTCTCCACAAGAAATCACGTTAGATGGCCACAATTTCCTTAATCACCGAGTTCGGTGCTTTAAAAAATGACAGAAAATGGATGGGCATTGCATTCAAAACTGAATTAATTAAGGTCACCCTCCCCCCAATGGACAAATGTCTATGCTTCCAAGAGGGTAGACGCTTACGTAAGCCATCAAGCACTGGTCTCCAAGTAGACAACTTCCTAGGATTTGCACCAAGAGGTAAGCTCAAATGCTTAAACGATAGTTGACCCACCTTACAATGTAAAAAAGAAGCCGCCAAATCAATAAAATCTACCCCTGAGTGAATGCCAATAACGCAACTCATGTGAAAATTAATTTTCATATATACCTGAAATTAACTCAAAACAACGCAATATGGCCTTTAAGCACCACAAATTCTACATAGTAGCTTCTCCAATTATCAAAGTATCATCAGCGAATTGCAAAAGAGAAATTGGCAGACTTTCACCCCCCAAGTGTAATCCCGTAAATAGATTCATATCTAAAGCCCTAGTCATCAACAATCTGAGACCTTCTGCAACAATTAGGAACAAAGACGGTGCTAATGGATCTCCCTGCTTTAATCCCCTACCAATAGCTACTTCCGCCGTGGGACTCCCATTCACAAGGGCTGATAGACTACCCCCACATACACAACCTTCCATCTGCCGGACCCATCTCTCATTAAAACCACACCCTCGGAGCATGAACAACAAGTAATCTCATTCCACAGAGTCATATGCCTTCTCATAATAAATCTTCATAACAAAAATCGGCTTCTTATATTTCTGAGCATAATCAATAGCCTCGGCCGCAACTAGAACACTATCCAACAGATGTCTACCAGGAATAAAAGCAGACTGGTTCTCTAAGATAATTGATGGAAGAATACCACGCAATTTATTTGCCAATACCTTAGAAATAATTTTATACAAGCACCTAAGCAACGAAATAGGATGAAAATCAGTCATACCTTGAGGGCAGGGAACCTTGGGGACCAAAGTCACAAAATAAGACAAAAGAGCCTTTGGAACCTTCAAGTTAGTATGAAACTCAGCAAGCAAATCCATCACATCCACCTTTATAAGAGGCCAAAATCTCTTCAAGAAAGCAAAATTAAACCCATCAAGTCCTGGGCTTTTGTCTCCACCACTCTCCCTAATCAAACAACTCACCTCCTCCTCAGTAAAGTCACCAACCAACCTTGCATTTTGCGCATTAGACAACACAGGAAAACCAACAAGTGACAATCGTGGTCTAAGCCAACTTCTAGCTTTGAAATGCTCCTCAAAATATGACCTCACAACCTCTTTGATCTCATAAACCTCCTCTACCATTCGCTCACTTATCTTCAAAGCAATAATCTGGTTACGTTGCTGCATTCCCCTGATACAAGCATGAAAGTATTTGGAATTTAAATCACCATATTTACCCCAACAAACTCGCGCCTTTTGAGCTAACAAGCTTAGTTTGTTCCTCCAAGCACACTAAATACCATCCACTAGCTACTTTTGCCTACTCCTTTTTGATTCTGCAAGAAAGTAATCCTCATTCTTTGCATCCATCTCCTTTAATTCCTTGGTCAAACTTTTTATCTTGGTATCCACATTACCAAACACGTTGACGTTCCACTTCTTTAGAGCATTTTTAACATTCAAGAGCTTTCCTCTTAATCTCTGTGCGACCCATGTACCTTGGACCTGTTTCTCCCATGCAGACCCCACCACACCCTCAATACCACTATGTGAAAGCCAATAATTATTAAAGCGAAACGGTTTAGGACCCCAGTTTAGTACCTTGTGGTTCAAAATCAATGGACAATGATCAGATACATCACGTGGGATCACCTCCACATATCCTACGCCCCATTGAGCACTCCAACTTTCTGAGACCAACACCCTATCCAACCTACTCATCATAGAATCATCACTTTTAAACCAAGTAAATCGCTTCCCAACTAGTGGTATATCAATCAACTCCATATCTCTTATAAACAAATTGAATTCTTCCATATCCCGTGCACCGTATTCACCAATCACCCTTTTTCTCTCATCTTGTCTTCTCACCGTGTTGAAATCCCCAACTATACACCATAAACAACTCCCAAAACCACGCTTAGACATGATTATCTCTTC